AAAAAAAAAAAAAGTTAAAAGAAAAGAAAACAAAAAACAATCATGTCTTTCTGTTTTGGTATAGCTATGTCCGTACAACCTATTTGAGTTGGTGGTTGAAGCTTTATAGGCAGTCAGTGTTCATGTGTGCACATATACATGTAGATGTTTGTGAATTAAGAAGGTACTTTTTTTTGTAGAGAAAAGAAAATCTCAAAAGACGGGAGTCTAGATTTCTTTTTCTTGAAAAAGAAATCTCACAAGAACTGGGCCCGGATTGCTTAGCGCTGAAGGGGCCTAACCCGCGGTGGCAGCAGACAGTCTGTAAATAGATGCCCATCCCAACCTACTTCTAGTTTCAGTTCACCTCCGTCCATATCGGTAGCATCGCTCTGTCTCAGCGCCGCGCTAACACAGTTTGGTGCCGAGACATTCGCGGCCACAGGAATGAACTTGATACGCCGTCTAGAAACGACAGCGCACTTCAGTAGAAATCCACACAATCGAAGATGATAACATTCAAGGTTAGAACAAGGCAGCTGAGGGTTTTTAACGATTGACTGACTTACTCGGTACCAAATACATACTTTTGACTGAGTCCCTTCTCGCTGGGGCTCAAGTTCATATACCCAGACCGTCCTTGCTTGTTGAAGTACTGCTTCCCAATGCAGTGGGGCTTGCAGAGAGCTGAGGGTGAAACAAAGCCCTGGCCTCCTCCTCCTGAGGGTACGGCTGACCTCTTAACTGTCCCGAGGTGAAGTAACCCTCCCTGAGCTCGTGTCGCTCCCCTGTCCACACATCGGCCTCCACCGCGACACTAACGGGCAGTAAACTGCTCTGGGTCTCTGCCCCTGAGCCCAATTCACAATCTGTGTCCTCGGGAATTATGGGTATCCTCTGGTTGAGTTCGCAGCAGCCCTGTCCAGAGCAGGCCTCCGAGTCTGCATGAGCATACTGCACATTGACAGCGTAGTCCTCGGTGTAGCGGCCCGCAGCGGCCCTGTGCACCTTCATCTCTTTGTAGAAGCAGCAAGGCAGCCCTTCGTAGCTCACCTGCTCCGAGGAAGGGCACATGTGCTCGGGGGCAAAGTAGTTCTTGGAGGCTGAGCTCTGAAAGTCAAGCCCCCTGTGAAAGCGTCCTGCGGCCAGAGGCCCCGCTTGGTCCGAGCCCTGCCCTTTGCACTCCACGTTGGGAGGAAGCACCTCAAAGCAGCAGCTACAGGCCGCAGCCCCGAGCTCCCCCGACTCCTCCAGCGCCCCCTTCCCCCTGTCTGCTCCGGCAGCCTCCGGCGCTGCGGCTGAGGTAGTGCTAGTGTTGCCGTTCTCCCTGGGTTCCAGTGATGAGCGACTGCTGTAGTTGGGCTCCAAACTGCAGTTGGAGAGGTGGTCCCCTGAGCTATACCCCGAAGCTCCAGGAGGGAGCTGGAGGCAGTCGTGTCCCAAGGGAAGCGGGGATGACGAATCCTCGGCGGGAGCTGCGGTGCAAGACGCAGCCCCCGCCTCCCCAACGGAGCCCCTACACGGACTCTTACTCCGGTAGACGTAGGGATCGTAGTCACTGCTCAGCGAGCTGCGGAAGGTAGAGCAACTACCGTACACGCCCTGGTTGCTGACCTCGGTACAGTCCAACATGGAGTCGCTGGAGGAACAGTGACACTGGCCCGAGCTGCTGCTGCTGCTGTCACTGCCGGGGCAGTCGGCAAGGTAGCCGCTGCACACCGAGCGGTGGCCGTGGTAACAGCTCAGGCCAGAAGTGCTGCCGGTGTCACCGATCCTCGAAGAAGAGGCGGGCGCCATGTGTACCACTGTGGGGTATAACAGCCCCTGCTGAAAGGCCCTGCTGTGGTGGCCCTTGTGGGCCCCTCCTCCTCCTCCTCCTCCTGCACCAAGCTGCCCTGCCATGGCGGGCCCCTGGCCACCCTCAGGCTGTTGAGGGAAAGTCAACCCCTGAAAATAGTAGTGCTGGTACATTGTCTCGTACTGCGAGAAGCAGGCTGCGCGGGAAAAGTTGCGGCCATGGAACTTGGGCCGCTTGAAAGCCGCGTGATGCGGCTGTGCTGGGTAGGCGGGGGGTCCGCGGTGCTCCAATCCGCAGTGGTGGGGGTTGAGCGAGTGGTCCAGGTGGAGGGCCGGGTGGTAGCTTCGGAGAAAGGCAGATGTCGATTGGGGTGGGTACAGACCTTGTGGATCCGTGTGCTGGTTTGCAGTGAGCATGGTGATGGGGTTGCCGTGGGGGTCCATGCTGGTTCTGGTCGGATAGGCGGTCACCTGGCCTGCACGGTGCACCCTGCCGGGATAATGGACCGGCAGCACCACCCGCTGCCGGCCGTGGACTGGGTTGCCAGGGTCCATGCATGCTGGTCCTGGATTTCCCTTCTTTTGCTCTGAGAATTCAAAGAAGGTAACATTGAGAATCCCCCAAATGAAGAGTAACCTCATGAACGTCTCTCTTATAACCAGAGTAGATATCAGAGGCTGTGCACCAACTCACCGATGATGTTGTGTCTACAGTGGGGACAGGTGTGGTGCTGGAGCAGCCAGGGGTCGACGCATTTCTTGTGAAATCTGTGAGCACAGGGGATAACTCGCAGCTCCTGTGGGGGGGAATACTCAATGGTCAGACTCTACCTGTTCTGTCACTGACAAATAGCAGCAAATACTGTGAAGACAAACAGAATGAGATGGCTGTCATTTGTGTGTCAAATGTAAGTATTATTTGTTAAATGACAGATCTTTGATTCTGCCTGGTAGCACCTTAAAGGCAAGAAGTAGAGCCTGTTCACTACATTTGTACACGTTTTTATGGCTTTCTGTGCTTTTTTAATTTCATTTTTATAACATTCTATACTATGACTTTTATCATTTTTATGACAAATTATATCTATACCATACCATGATTTTACTAATTAAATTTGAGAACATATTTTACGAGGACGTTTTTGTTATAATAACTTTAATGACATGTTTATAACATACTATACTATGATTCTTTTTAATGGTCCGTTTTTGTTGACAATCTTTATGACATTATGTTATGACCCTTTTATCATGCTATACTGTCTTTGTGTGTTTTCAGTAACAAGATTGTGTTTCTAGCTCGTGTGTATCACCGTTATTACTCTTTGTAATAAACCTTGCATTGCGTTTAGTCACTCAATTCATTCTCTTGTGCTTCGTTCCTACTTCGTCTATTTAATTCATGCTGCAATGATACAGTGGTCCAAGGAGTTATAACAAATGAGGACTGTTTAGTTGTGCTTTCTTACAATCAATGTCAAGTAAATGTAAGATAAAGTGTGTCGCTAAGAACTCAAAAAATGTATGGAAAGTGTGTTAAAACGGGTCTTCAAAAGGTTTTGAATTGAACTTTTACTGAAGTAAATCAATGCAAACTAAAGCAAAAAGATTCTCAGATGGTGAATAAATGTGTGGTTGGGAGCGGCTGAATGTCCAGAAGGTGGCAGCAAAGCTGTCGTGGCGATGTCGTTGAATCTTAAGTCACGTTTTTTTTACCCCTGAGAAGAAGCCAACTTTACATCACGCCACAAACACACTCCCTCAGCAGAGAAGCCACACCACAGTACGAACACAACGTCGACACTTTCTGGAACAAAACAAACAGGAGGCTTACACTTGTGGGTTGATATGAAAAGAATGCGACACTTTGTATTCAGATGGAGAAATTCCAAGACACAACAGCAGGAGCGCTAGGAATATGAATTATAATATTATTCTCCAGTGAGAGCTCTTTCACTGCCATACATACGTTACTCTATGGCTTAATGTGACTCAACTTTGGGCTTTTTTCTTTCTTTTTTTTCACCCGAGCTTTTGTTGCTTGGTTCACTGCTCAGACAGCACTTTGATGCCATTCAGCCTTTTATACCGCCACTTCCTCTGTGCAATGCTGGCGCCACGCTTTGTTGCGTTTTCTTCTCCTACTTACCGAGAGGACATAACCACAAAAACACACATGCACCAGCTATGTCCCACTGGGGGGTTTGTCCCTGTAGCGCCCATGTGTTGAGGATGAGCAACGCTCTTACAGTAAACCCTCAAAGTCCAACATCAGGATACATATTTCGACAATGAGTCCTTTAAGGATTAAAGAAGGCCACAGTGGGAAAACAGGAAGCGCAATCCCAAACCAGTGCACTCTGGGTACCGTTATCTCTCCAGGTGCTCTCAAAAGACTGAACTAAACATCTAAAAAGGCGCCGGAAAAGAACGTCACCGAAGACCGCGGGCCTGCGGTCCCCCGAGCACATCAGGGGAACTTCCATTCTATTGTCCACAGAACTGCATTATGTTTCATGTCTACAGAATGTGTAATGAAAAGAAAACACACTCAGTGGGTAGATGAGCACACAAACACTGCCCGTTTAGAAGTTTGGCTCCCACATGGTCCCCTTACGCACACAGTGTGGAGTTTGGAGAAAAAGCTGTTTTGTTATTTCTGTGTTTGGGAGAATTGTTGCTTGAAATGCTCCACGGTTGATGCATTTGTATCGTAAACTTCTCTCATTTTGTTTTTTTAATGGTTATTGGTGGGTTTTTTGGACAAATATACTATTAACTTAAATTATACATTAAAAAAGGGGACTGCTTGGATGATAATAGTAATTTTTTATAGTTTAATCTTACTGGATTTTTGTATTTTTTTCTAACCAACATCCTCTTAGCTTTTGAATTTCAGAATAAAAGCAGAAACATTCCTTTTCTCCTCATGAACCCTCGAGAGCCCGATTGATTCAATACAGGTAAGCACAGCGATGACGCTTGAGACGTTTTATTTTCAAAGTACAAAGTAGTTTCCATACATATGAACATAAAAACAAGACGTGTCTACCTTTGTATTCACTGGGGGAGAACAGCACACTTGATTGCGATTGTTGAAAGTCCCCATAGCAGACAAAGTCATTTATTCAAATAAAAAGAAAAAGACAAAGTGTCACTTCTTACCTCGCCGTCGATGTACTTTTCCAGACAGATGGCGCAGTCGGAGGTGGAGCTGCTGCTCAGTGAATCGTGGACGCCACAGCTGCTCTCGCGCTGGCCCTTTCCTTTGGCCTTGAACTTTCTCGTCTCCATCTTCTCCAACGCTTGGATGGCCATTCTGTTCATCGAGCTCTGTGGCGGGGAGGAAGGTGGGGACGAAGGTGGGGACAGGGTCAGCAGGGAATATCTCTACAGCTCTGTAGAATTCAACATGAAAGCCAACAAAACCGACAAATTATGACTTTAAGACGACATAACGAACATTTACATCCTGTTAAATGTCCTACACGTCAGCAGCGTTTGATCCGTGTTCCTCTTTACGCTCGTTAATAAACGAGGTCTGATGTTGCCATGTGTTGAGACTATCCCCCTTTGACACAGTACATCATGTTGCAATGTTTGACTGACGCATTAGCAACTCTATCTGGCCTCTTTTTATCTCTAATTTGTTTCGTGCTTCCCCGAAAAATGTTACTTATTAAAAGAAATGGTGATATACAAGTTGACACATGCAGAACCACTTATTGGGATTAAACTCAATGATTCACATGTGTAGCAGACATTGGGATTTATAGCAGTCGCTGCATGAACTGCTGCTGCATCCCTGATGTAAACCAGTTATTTATGCCCAGGCTTAACTCCAAAAAAGGGGGCGTTTCTTCCTTTGTGTTGCCTCACAGCTAGATAATTGAAGACTTTTTTAAGGATAATCCTGGTCAGCAAGAGAGCAAGGAACTTTGGCATGAAAGTCATTTCTCATCACAGGGTTGACAAGACATGAAACACGACGATTTAAAAATCTATATTTTCAGTTTGTAATTAACTGTAGTCTTGTGAGGGGGCGAACCCGTCACTAAACCCAAAAGCATCCTGCTGTTTACAGTTGAACTGGATAGGAAACGTTAATACTGTGTTAACAACATCTAATCCACAAGTTGTTCATTAATGTTTCACATATCAGGAAGGAGAGGTTTGTTACATTCGACAAATGTGCCCCAGCTGTGAGCGGCTCTTTTAATTAACCAGCAAAGGAAGTCACGACCAAGTCACCCGCTGTTGTGACATACACACACACACAGGAGAAAAAGTGTGAAGTCTTTACACACACACACACACACACACACACACACACACACACACACACACA